TTTTTTTTTTTTTTTTTTTTTTTTTTTTCTTTTTTAATAACCCGGTAGCAGTTCACCGGAGATAAACAAATTTGCAAAGCAGACTTGGCATGCGCTTGGGATCAGCTTAATAAAAAAGATGCGCTTTCTTAAGTTTTGGGGAATCCCGTAAACCTGCCGTTTGCTTGGCATTGGCACTTTCTTCATTAAAAATCCTACACGGGTTGTGAACTATTGCAGAGGGCCACCTAGTACTGGAGAGTCCCTTTTGCAAGAAAACTTTAAGGTTTCAAATAACCGACTGAAGAAGAAGCAAAGCGCCGTGTATACTACGTTGCTCTTTGTGACAAGTGTGTCATTTGTAATTATGCCTGATAATGCACTAGGTATCCCAACTTTTCTTTGGGGACTCCAGTACAAGACGGAAAGGACAAATGAGAGACGTACTCCATCATCCATACTAGCTGAAGCAGAATTATTATTTGAACCCAAGATCTGGAAAAATGAGCCTAAATCTGACACTGTTTGACTATTAGATCATGCTTCAGGGCAACATAGGAAAGAAGATGATCAATCTTAGATACACCTAGAAATGTCAAACAGGTATAAAACTTAGTAATCTTAGTAATAATTACACGATGAACGTATTGTATCTTATCTCTGAAGACGTTTTGTAGAATTTCCCGGATTTCCAGAAAGGAACTTTTTGGGCCATTTCAGGGCAAGATAATCAGCTCATCTATGTGGTTTTGCCAAAGAGAGAGGAAGTCTTAACTCCATGTCAGTCTACAGATGTTTTTGATTCCCAGATGTTTGATTAAGAAAAGAGAGACCAAAGTAGGTTCCGGCCTGCTGATGATAGTGTTTTACAGCAATGCATTTAAATTTCTTGCTACAACAGATTGTTTTAAGTAGAAAGAGCCATTTAAAGTTAAATGTTGGGAGATTTAAAAGAAAAAAGCACAGGACAAAAAAAAAAAAAAAGAAGACATGAGTATTTCCTTGCATGTACATATATCCGTTAATTTTAAACAGAACATTTTCTGTTTGAAATCATGATTTTCTGTTTCTCTCCTTACAATTATTTTGTGTTAGAGCAGATCTTGATATTAAAAAAAGCCAAGCAGTCAAGCATATAATTCTTGTCTAGTAATACCATGTTTTGAATCCTTCGAACAGCTCAGTGATGAAATGATAATTTTGTTCAATACAGGGCACAGCATTTGATTTAGAAATCGTACAGCCATCTACAGTCAGTCTGCGTATATCACAGTGACCTGTCCACTATAAATACATGGAAATGTGTGATTTCTGCTTTTGGAGTACAGTGCATTTTAGATAAGAACATGCAAAAGTAGCATGTACTTGGGAGATGAAATTGCGATGTAAAGAATTATAACATTCTAGTTGAAGATATAGGTGTATAGGCAGGATTCACTAAGTACAAAATTTATGAAAGTATCAAAATCTTTCCTTTATAAACCTGTAGGATTGTGTTACTGTTAAAAAAAAAAAAAAAAAAAAAAAAAAAAAAAAAGGCAATTGTGAGTTGTCTAAATAACTACCGGAGTAATTACATGAGCATAGGATATCTAATTGTGTGTGCACTTAGGGGATGTCTTAAAAGATTTGGCCCTCTCAGTATTCTCAATATGAAAATTTTTCTGTAGAAAATAAAAGCTAGAACAAAAGCCAGCAGGAAAAACAACAGCAGATTCTGCCAAAAGTACTTTATTCTTGTTTCATTGGCAATCAATTGTTAGGCTTGTCGTAACACTTAAAATGCCAATTTAAGCATGAATGAGGTTCCACCCTGAAATTAAAACATTGTAAAGAGATGAATCCCTTTTACTTCCACAACAATAAATTGAAAAATAAATTCCAAATATTGCTAATTTCTGTATTTGCAAGATTAAGGGAGGGGGGGATTTAAGAACAAATGCTTAAACCATCTCAGTTTATGTTCAGAATACATCCTACTGCAGAATCACAAGTAAAGGTGTGTAAGCTTTATACAGGTGAAGAAAATAATGTGTCTTATATAAGGTGTTGACTAAAACAGCGTTAGAAATATTTTAAAAATTTTACTTGGCTGTGCATTGGAATTGTGAAAAATCCTGGTTTGTATTTAGTTACATTATTAGTTACATCATTCATTTAAATAGTTACGTTGTAATCTAGCTAAGTTTTATACAGGTTCTTAACATCTCAAATGTAAGTGGTAGTCGCAGCAAAAATTAATATGTTGCTTACACACCTGTAGTTGTAGAAGCCAATATGAGTAAGAAAAATGGAAAATACTGACTTTTTGTATTATTTTTTTTCCAGGTCTCACCTGGTAAGGTGTCTAGAAATACATTCTAGTTTCCAAACCTGGGGGGGGGATGTCCAATTTGGTTATCAGCTATAGAGTAAAGCTATTACATGCATAGGAACTTATTAGCAGGATTTAATCTATTTTGAAATAGTATTGATTTGCCAGTTTAATAAAATATAAAGTAAAAAATCTTGACTTTTTGTCTTAGATAACTCATGCATGAAAACACTATAAAAATTTCCAGAGATTTTTAATATATATTTATGTGAATTGTATACAGAGTACATGTATGATTGCATATACAAATATATTTATATAAATATGCATACACACATGAGTTGTATTTTAAATTGTAACAGTATCTTGTTTGGATTTCATATTTGATCTGTAATCCAGGAAATTTTGGAATCTCAGTAATCTGAATAAAATGTCATGAAAGTTTTAATGGCTGGAGCTTCTCCTGTGAGTCAAAAGAAGCTCTGCTTCTGTATCAACTGTATTCCCACAGAGAAACTGAGAAATACTTGTAGAGTACTTCCAGCTTTTCTAGATGCTATAATGAGATGTATTCTATACACACCCATTAAGAACAACGTTATATTGATTTTAAACTTGAGGAATTCACTTCCAGTAGAGTCTGTTTGACACCATTGTCAGCTTGCAGTTTCCACTGTAAATATTCACTTACTCTCAGCTTCTACTTTTGTACATTATTTTAAAATATTTACCAATTGTAAGAAAAAAAAAATAATTACAAGTTTTGTTCTGTTCATTTCATTCTCTATCTAAGCCTTCTTGTGGAAAAAAAAAAAAAAAAAAAAAGTTTTGCTTCTGAATTGCAGTATGGCTTGGCCATAGACATTCACACTTCAGCTGAAATGAGTCTTAAATAATTTTAAAATTCTCGGTTTTAGAGGAGTTTAGGTAAGCTCTCAGTGAACCAGTATGTCAAGTCATAGGATTCAGTGTAATTCTCCTGTTAGGGTTTACACTTTCCAAATATCTAACCAAAAATAGTCTTCTTCCAGTAGAAAATCAAACATATCATGCTTTGTTAGTAAAATACTTAGCTTGACATCCTGAAAGTTATGTTCAAAACAATGAAATTCATCACATAAGTTTGACAAAAGGCTGCTACTTAATTTTTAAAGGAGTGAAGCAAAGTGGCATGAGCAAGACGAATAGACTGTTGAACTACTGTTGGAAAGAGCAGAAAGAACCACGTACTCCAGACTAATTTAACTAAAATTTGCCGCAGGGGAGGCTTCCTCTGAAACGTGTAAAGAAACCAACCTCCTAATTGTGAAACACTCAGGCCATCAGCAGAGTCATATCAGCATAACCTCATGTACAACATAACTCTTAGATCAGTGCCCAGAGAGACAGAGCAACTGGTGTAGAGCGGAACAAGGCTATACGGAGATTTAATGCAGAAGGGCAAAATGAAAATAACCTGGATTTCAGAAAAAGTTCCTTCTACGAGTATGCAAAATTACACAGTGTCCACAGACTGTACACAGAATATCAGTGTCCAGGGCAACATGTTCTCATGTGGTGCCTTTGGTCCCGATTCAGGCAAAACCTCCCACTGACACTTAAGTTCCACTGATTTCAGCAGAGTTTAAGTGCTTTCCTGAATCAAGGCTAATTAAGTGCATCACATACAAATACTCGTGTGCATAAATTGTTTACAGGATTGGGGCTTTAGGGCTTGTCTAAACAGAGACACTCAGGAAAATTAATCCAAATTAACTAAAGGTATGAATTTAAAGTGGATTAGTTAAACCACATTAAACCCCAGTCCACACTGGGGTTTAATGTGGTTTAACTAATCCACTTTAAATTCACTGTTTTAATTACTTTGGATTAACTTTCCTGAGTGTCCCTGTTTAAGCAAACCCTTAGTGTATTGAATAAAGTCCCCAAATGAGTCAAAATTAAAATAGACCCCAAACTAAATAAATAGTAATTCTGCATTGGCAAGGGATGAAATCTTTAATTTTTACAATTCCAGTGACTGTGTACCACCAATGTGCTGAGGAACAGCAGCAGTGAGATCAAATTGCAATCAGTGAACACGACAATGGAACTAAGCCGTGAAACTCCAAGCTGTGTGGGAAAGGCTGGTCTGAGAAAAAATCAGAATAAAAAACAAATTTTCAAATCAGTTGTGTGTACTTCGGCAATATTAAACTGCAATTTAAAAATAAAGATCAGATTTGTTTCCACTTAAGCTGGCAAGACCAGTGAAGGTACTCTGGTTGCCAATACAGTCTGTGATGGCTAGCAAGGAAGCCAAAACTGGCAGAGAAGTAAGATAAGCCTTATTTATGTAAATAAGACACCATTTGTATTTAATAATAAGCTATTACTTCTGATTAGCCACTTAAATATGATACATAAATAAAGCACTCAAATAGCACTTGATATTATTATTTTGATAAATGAACATTTGTGTTCTTTTGAAAAATACAGTCTGATTCCCTGGGTACCATTTGCTTAGAGTTCCACTGGAAGTGGTGGAATTAGACTTCGAATTG